TACAGTAAAATTTTCAAGACTCTAGCATTTCGATTTAAAAAGTTAAGAGGGGTGGGCTACTTATGATTCCTACTGTAGTAATATATATACTATATAGTATATGTATATGTAATAGTATTAAGTTAGTTTACTAATATAGTTAATTATAATATTAATTTTTTTATTACGTATAATATTAATTTTTTTTAATTATACGTTTTAATTATACGACGTACGTATACGTATATGCTGTAATATATACTATGTATATACTATATATATATATATATATATATATATATATATATATATTATATATAATAATACGTAACATTGTTATAAAAATCTAATCTATAATACCAATAATTTGGCTAATTAGCAGCCTTAATAAACACCATACTTTATACAGTTCGGGTATAATCGTGCAGTATATATATATTTTTTTTCAATAAACAAAATAAAATTAAATAAACTATTTATATAATTTTATTTAAATGAAATAAAATGTATACAGTATACCGACACATGTACACATGTTTATTTTTTTTTAATAAATTATTATATATTAATCATAAGTTAAAATTGTATATATTATTATCCAATCAATCAATAATACAAAAATACAGTTTATGTCGCACCAATTAAAATATAAACAAGTTAAAAATTTTGTACTATCGCTATCACACTTATTATATATACATAATGGCAATATATTTTACATTGATGGACAATTAGGGAGATAAAAATACGTACAAATACGTAGTTCGTTTCATGAATTTCAAATAGTTCTAGGTTGCGATTATGCGTGTAATATTTGTAATATAAACAAGCAGCTGAAGAAATAAGAAAATAAATGACAAAATGAACATCACTCGGGATTCGAAATTCCGTGTAAAATGTGATTATCAGAGCAACGGGCCAATACATATATACAGGAATGCAGGAGTAGTGACCAAGGGTGTACTTGTAAAATAATGAGTCGCTTGGTAAACAAGAGTGAAGTTGGAATTATTATTATTGTTTATTATGATGATCAACTTCGCCATCCCTTTGTAAAGAAATAACCAATGATTATTTGATACAGCTTATCAATTTCACAGGAATCACTACCATTAAAGATTAATCAGGTAACAAGTTTTAATGACTAATTTGTGTTTGGTCGTTCCTTTCTTTTTTTTTTCTCATAATCGAAGGCACGCATATACACAGAACCACAACACGTACGGCGTGGGCATTTGCTCATTATCAGTAACTGATTTTGGGGCCATGTTACGAATGCAGTTTTACAACCCAAATTAAATTTTTTGATTTTCCACCATAGAAATTGACCTTTTTATAATTTTTTTTTTTGTGATTTTTTGCAACTAACATTCTGTGCAGTTTATTATTAACTGTTCTTGGGCAAGTTTTGCCGGATTTATGCACTTATTTATTTATTTATCGTTACGTTTGGCTCAGTTCGGCAAAGATTTATAGAAAAATTGGGCAATTTTGGCTTGAGGCGGTGTCGTACCTCATTCACTAACTTTCTGCGTCCCTGCACTTCATCCCCATTATCACAGTTCAGCTACACCAATGTAAACATCATCAAAAAAATATAAATTAATGGATGTTGGAATGGAAAAGGGACAAAGAAGGAAGTAGAAAACGAGGAAATCATTCCGTTCACCACCGAATTTTAAATTTGGAAAATCTTGGTTGATTGATATATATATATATATATAGATTATATAAATACATACACCTAACTCTTATTCTACCCATTTTTTTTTTTCATTTTTTTTGATATATATATTTTTTTTTCTTATTCTCTACCTTCTCTTTTTTTTTTTTTTTTTTTTTTTTTTTTTTTTTTTTTTTTTTTTTTTTTTTTTTTTTTTTAAAATTTTTTTTTTTTTTTTTTTTTTTTTTTTTTTTTTTTTTT